ATTGTGGACATTGCTGCTATAAACATTGAGGTGCACATACCCCTTCAAATCACTACATCTGTATCTTTGGGGTAAATACCTAGTAGTACAGTTGCTGGGTCGTAGGGTAGCTCTATTTTCCACTTTTTGAGGAACCTCCATACTGTTTTCCAGAGTGGCTGCACCAGCTTGCATTCCCACCAACAGTATGAGAGGGTTCCCCTTTCTCTGCATCCTCGCCAACATCTGCAAAATTACCAGATTTAAATAAGGATGATATTTTCGATGAAAACCAGCACATTCCAAAGACAAGAATCCCTAGCGCCACATTTTATCTGCCCAGGAGGGATCTTTTTAAATACACAGTAATGAGGTTCACCTGACTGCCTCTCTCGGTTCTAGACCTCACTTCCATTTGCAGAAAGTGCATCCACTGGCAGAATGGAGCAGTCAGGAATAAACGCTTGTACCTCGGGCAGGAGGCATGGCTGTCCCTCAGTTCAGTGCCGTGGAGGGCAGCTCCCAGAGGCCAGGAGTCTTGTGATGTCAGGAAAGTGCATAAAACCTGCTTGATCGCTGCCCCTTCCTTCGCCTTCACCTGAAATACACTTCCCATCTACATGTACACCCTCCCTCTGACAGGCCTTCAAGGCAACATCAACTCCGGGCACATATGAGATGCCAATGAGTGATTGGCCGGGTGAGTAGGTGGACACAAGGAGAAGGGAATCAGGGAGAGAGGTCACTGGCACTGAAGATGACGGATGCCTGCAGGGGTCTCTAATGCCTTTTGCGCACACCCCGGTTGGTGGACTCCTGCCTTCCTCTTGAATATCCCTTTTGCCCATTCTTTGCCCCTCAGGCAGTTCTTCCCTTCCTGGCGTTAGACAGATTTGCCATATCTCCCCCCACTGGAAGGAGATCGACAACCCCCCCGGTCCCCCACAGCTCTCCAGGGAGGCCGAGCTGATGCTCAGCAGAGGACAGATTCTACCCGGCCCATCTGGGGACACAGCGGTAACAGCCTGCGGGACTAACGGTTTCGGGGAGACGGGGTCTAACTCCTTCTGCACCGCTGTGTTTTGGCTGCAGCGTAACAGCCACGGCTGCCAGCATCGGAGCTGCTGGGGTGCCCCAGGCCGGCCTGGTGACCATGGTGATCGTGCTGAGTGCTGTGGGGCTGCCCGCGGAGGATGTGACCCTAATCATCGCCGTCGACTGGCTCCTGTGAGTTTGGGGTAGACGCAGTGCCTCGGCCGGCTGGGGAGGCGGACCCCCCACCCTGCGGGATCTGCAGTCTGTCACCATCCTGTCCTCACTTGGCCTAATGAGCCATCTGTTGATGCTTTAATGTCCCTCTGACCAGGCCATCTGATAACGTGCTTAAAAATTAACTCCTCGTCAACTCTGGTGGTGACTTTAAAGGGCCAGTGCTCTCCATTAGAGCATTCATACCTGCTAATGCTCAAGGATAGGAGGTGGGTGTGGGGGGGACACGCATAAAATACTAGGGTGAGGAAGCTGGACAAGGTCCCAGACTGTCCAGACCCCAGAGGCTCCCCTCGCCTCTCCGGGCCCTGGGTCAGCCTCACTGGTTTAGAACTGCCTGCTTCAAAGGCAGCCCATCTCCCCGAGACCTTCAGCATCGTCAGGGGGCGGGGGCATGAGCAAAGGCTTTGGGGTGAGACGGGCTTGAGTGTGAATCCCTGTTCCGTGTCTCAGGGGCTGTTTGGCCTGGAGCAAGTTCCCTAGCTTCTCCGAGGCCCAGTTGCCTCATCTGTGAGATGGGAAAGATTCTGCGTATTTCATTAGGTGGGTGCAAGGACTGAGCTAATGTGAGCAGAGTGTCTGGAACAGTGTCTGGCGGCCAATATGTGCTCAATAAATGGCAGGTTTTATTGTTACGATTAGAATGGACAGTTCACGTCTCAATCGACAGTTCTCTCTCACACACACACACACAGAGGGCTGAGGAACACAGCGGAACATCTGGGCAGGAATATGCCTTGTGTGACCCCCCCCCAAGGTTCAAGTTAGAATGAACTTGGGGTCCCCGGCTTTATCCTTAATACCCACTCTGTGCACTGGTCTTCCCGCAGCTAGGTCTGGCTCTGTCCCCCGGCCATCAGGGGCACACATGGCTCCATGTGGAGCCTTTACTCAGAACCAGCCCAGGGTTCCCGGGGAGTACGGTGCTGGGTGGTTTGCAAGTAGTAGTTGACATGGTGAAGATACAGTCAGCCCCCAGAAGGCAAAAGCTCCGGGAGGCAGGCTGTGTAAGGCCCCCCAGCAGCTGGCTGGTTCTGCAGGCCCCCAGCTGAGGTGGCCCCTTTCTTGCCAAGACACCCTATCACTGAGGCAAGTGCTTCGAGTTTTCTTTCTAGTGATGAGGGTGGGTTTGCACTCGTCTCCTTTCCCTGATTCTTCCTGGAACTGGTGACCTTCAGTTCCAAGATACCGAGAGAAGTCAAAGGTCCGGTCTGGTCCGTGGGATGAAAAGGCACTGATTGGTTCATACCAGGGTCTAGTTCAGTCCATGGCCTCGTTCTAGATCACAGCAGGGCATCCAGAATGGGGCTAGATAAACACTGTTGGCCTCTTCTGTCCTGCAGAGGTCTTTCTCACGAGAAAGTGTTCATGTGCACACTTGTTCCCGGCAGTGCCCCACGGTCCTCTCACCAGGATGCCTTCCTGCCGCAGCATCTCCTCCAAGCCGTCTGGAGCTCAGGCTGGCCCAGGGTGCCACAAGGAGGAAGCCGCTCCTCAGCTGGTCCGAGCTTTCTGGGCCTGTGCTCTGTGGTGTCCCTGCTGGCTTGCTTGTAGAGTGATGCAGTGTGGCAGGGAAATGACTGTACCAGGGACACTCAAACACACAGGGACACTCGGCTGCACCCACAGACACACACTCCCCCTCGGCATGTACACCACCCACAGGATCCCCTCTACTTAGCCGAGAGCGAGCCTGGAAATGCCCCAAGGCAGAGGGTAGGCGTTGAAAGGCTTGTTCAATTCTGACCCTTCCTCAGCTCCCCCAAAATAGCTGCGAAGACTATTCACATTTGTTTGGGAGGGGAGGATGGAATTTTGGGAGACTGGTGCTGGATGTAGGAGGGTCACTGTGACTTCCTGGGAGCACACACCCGGGGAGCCCATTTGCTCATTCTCTACTTCTGTGAGCCCCCTTCTGCCCCAGGCCTGTGACGAGAGCAGCCTCTGATCCAGCCACGAGGACGGCGCTTTCTCCGTTTGCTTAATTCATACCTGAATGCTTCAGATCCTTTTCTCTCTCCAGTGGCAACTGGAACTGAACTGCAGGCCTCCTGTCTCTCTGTTCCCCAGGGACCGGTTCAGGACCATGGTGAACGTCCTCGGTGACGCGTTTGGGACAGGCATTGTGGAGAAGCTGTCTAAGAAGGAGTTAGAGCAGATGGATGTTTCATCGGAAGTCAACATCGTGAACCCCTTTGCCTTGGAATCCACAATCCTGGATAACGAAGACTCAGATACCAAGAAGTCCTACATCAACGGAGGCTTCGCCGTAGACAAGTCTGACACCATCTCGTTCACCCAGACCTCACAGTTCTAGGATCCCTGGCTTCACAGGACCAGGAATGATGAAGGACAGCTCCATGAGAGTCATCTCTTAGCAAATTCAAACATTAAATAAGAGAAGAACACTAATGGCCAACTGTACATTTGACTTGATATATAGACTTCCAGATTATTTTCTATATTTGGATTCACAGCTTTCACTCTCTGGGTTCTGGGATTTGGGGGTGGGGTAACATGGAAGAAAATAGATTAAAAGGAAAGCTGGATCCATGTCTGGATTGTAAAAATTCTATGAGAGACGAAGTTTGGAAGTAGATGGAGTAGTAACTGTTGAATTAGGACATGGATATGAAAGAAAAATTGCTTTCTCATACACAGTCCAGTGTTTTAGGTTTTTTTAAAAAAAATACTCTTATTGATTACAAATTTTTACTCAAGCTTTCTATTGGCATGGATTTCCTTTGACCTCTCACATTTTTCTAGATTATAATGCATATAAACACCTCTCCCCCATCAACGTGCCAAATTGTCCATTTTTAACTCATCTCCAGCCAATTTCAAAGTAACTGCTTTGAAAGAAAACAGACCAGCACAGTTCTGCAATCAGAGTTTTAAGATGGGTGTGGGGTTTTGTGGGAAGTGTTCTTTTTTCAATGTACTGTATTGGGACACTGGTAACTAGTAACCCAGTGTTCAGTATAGAGCTAGCTAGATAGATATATGTGTATATATTATTTTCATATAAGTTGCCAGACAGAGATCAGAATTGAACTGTCAATGTGAAATAAAGAGCTCTCCTTGTACTTGAATAATAACTACGATCTCAATCCAGATCTGCTTTGGGGCTTATCCATACTCCTGCCTCATGAGCACGAGAATGAAAAATCATGTTGTCTGATTGTTCCACGTCTGTGTGTCAGCCTCAAAGCAGACATGTCTTATACTCCAAGGTGGCTTTGCCATTCATCTCCAACTCCCAGGCTCTACTGCTGGGAGGGAATCCGTATCAGCTCTGTGTAAGATGGTATACAAAGGTGTCACGCACATAAGGCTGGATGTGTTTTTATCCAACTGGAAGGCTTCATTCTTCCAAGGTCAATTATACCCACTTAAAAATGACAGGACTTCGCCCTTTTGTACCTCTCAGGGCCCAAACCACAGTGGCAATCTACCAGCTAAGTTGTATTTGAACATGGGTTTCATGGACTGAACAAGTCACATTGGCCAGAAGAAGCACGGTCCCTACCCTGGATTCTTGCAGAGTTAAGTCCCACAATATGAGACATTGGTTATCAGTGGTTCAGGGAAATTCTTCCATTGTACGAAACTCGTCTCCTCAAGGGGGGATTGTTCCAACTAGTAGTCTAGTCATCTCGGCCCTGCTCCTTACCATCCATTTCCTGTCATTCTTCTGCTAATTTATGAAGATAGTTTATTAAAAATCTGTGCTTCCGAACAATGAATCATGGAACACTTCATCTAGAACTAATGATGTAATGTATGGGGATTAACATAAGAATAAAAATAAATAAATAAATAAATAAAATAAAAATCTGTGCTTCAGCTCTCTTGTAAATAACACTTAACATAAAAACTTGTATTTACACCGAGATCCAAAATAGTCCCGTTTCTGCAGTATTGAGTAGCCAATTTCAGCCTGTGCTTCAGTATTTAAGAAACCAGACACTGTGCCAAAGATCATGGGAAAGTAAATAAATGTTCACTATTGACCACCCATACCTGAAATCTAGAAGAGAATGGTACTGGATTGTCGTGCAAACACCATAAATATGGACCAGTGATTGAATGTGAGTTTTAAAATGCAGATATCGATGGTGTGCATTGGAAGTTGATCTAAATGTCGACGCAGTTGAATCCATCATTTGTCATGGGCTGAAATGTCTTACCCCCTTGGCCTTGGCTCAGATCTGAGGCACGAGAGTTGGCAGAGCTGTCCGTGAGCTGCAGGTCATCCTTCTTTTGGAGCGAGTTTGTAACCAGCATCTTAACACACTGTGCTGTTAACTCATAAAAGAGAAGTGTTCCATTTCAGTCTCAATAAATACTTCCGTCCTTCCTCCTTGCCAGCCTTGTTCTTCCTTTATCTATTCTTTCATCTCACTTACTCAGAAGGGGTGTGGGAAGGTGGAGACATGGTCAGTTGACTCAGATGGGAAACGGATTATTGTTTTCAAAACTGTTTACACTCAAGGATAATAAAGCAGGGCTTGAGGAAAAGTGATCTGATTTTCCACGTGAATCCGTGGGGATGATAAGACTGAAATACAGTGCCCTAAATGATGAACAGTTCGTCCATATTTTATCACTGAGAGGAAAGGGAAGGTATAATTTGGCTAGAAATTCCTATACTGGGAGGGAGTCCTAACTCCATATGATGGTGCCCTGGTTTCATGGGAGGACAAGTCCTGCCCTCCGAGATGTGCCTGCGAACGACCAGTCCTGTATTAAGGGATGCCACAGTCCTGCTTGGAACCTGAGTCATGATGGGGTCCTGCTGGTGGACTCACTTGTCTATGACGGACAACAAACAAATGGACAACTCCCTACCCTACTGAGAGAGGACAGTGTCACGGAAATGCTTATCACTACCTGGCCAGACTAATTCAGGATAGCTACCTCTTCAGGTGGCACGGGATAAAACACCCAGCACCACAGCTACTCAGAGACTTGTTTGGAAGAGTTAATACCCCTGAGCAGGGCCCCCCTATGACTTTGATCTTGCCCAGAGTATACTCATGTACAGAGGAACAGTGATATCAGCTCTAATAAATGACTATTCCTCAACAAATCTTTGTGAGCCCACTGGGTACAAGGCCCTTTATTAAAAACACACCCCGTTGTTCGGAGAGCTTGAGAAAACTGTGCTTGGCTTGTAGTCAGGCAGTGAGCCAGCAACGTGTTGGCTTTGCAGGTGGTAAGAATCTTCCCTCCTGGAACAGAAAGAGGAAACGGTCCTGCAGAGCTCTGGTAGAATGCCAAGACGACTCTATGCAACAGGATCGATACTCTGTATTCTCTAACTGCCCAGCAGGGCAGCAAAGAAACCAGTGAGTGGGCACACAGCCCTAATACCTAATCAGCCCTGGGACTCTTGCCAATGATCTAAGCCTTGGTTCTTACCCTGCGAAATGAGGATAACAAATCTCGTCTCGTGAGACTAAGTATTCGATGAGAAAATGGATGTGATGCATTTAGCGCATAATATGTTCAGTAAATGCTAGTACCTCTTGCCCCAAAAAACCACCATACACCCTCACCCCCATTTGCATGGGTAATCCACAGACATGCAGCTTCACGAGTTCAGGTAAGTTTTAGGGCCCTTGCCGCTGACATGGCTGAGGACTATAGCTCACACCGCTTGGCCTTATTACCTGGGTTATTAGAGCAAACAATAAATCCAACCTAGTGAGACTTAGTAAGCAACCCCCATTCAATAAAGGGGAAAGCCCTTTCTGAAAATGGGAAATTTTCAACTAAACAGTCTAAGACCTAGAATGTTTCCTCCTGTAAAAGATCATGTGGGGATTAAGCAAAGGTAAGTGTTCACAATCCTTTTTTTTTTTTTTAAAGATTTTTATTTATTTATTTGAGAGAGAGAGACTGAGAGAGAGAGCACATGAGAGGGGGGAGGGTCGGGAGGGTCAGAGGGAGAAGCAGACTCCCCGCTGAGCAGGGAGCCCGATGCGGGACTCGATCCCGGGACTCCAGGACCATGACCTGAGCCGAAGGCAGTCGCTTAACCAACTGAGCCACCCAGGCGCCCTCACAATCCTTTTTCACACGGAGGGCTTTGAGGTGCTCGGGCTGCATGCGTGAGGCTGAGATGCCCATTCATGGAGCAGCTGAAATCACAGTAGGACATGAAGTTCACCTTTGTCATCTTGGTCCCTAAATCTCACATAACCATCCCCACCTGCTGGAAGCAGCAGACTTTGTTCTGGGCCCCACACGGGGCTTCATAATACCCCCTATGCCGGGAAACGTGCCTCCCTCCCCTGCAATCTTAGACTTTTTAAGTGAAAGCCATATAATATAAACAACCAGAAGTAGGCCTTGTTAAATTAGCTTTGGGAACAACATATTGATCTGTATATATTGAATTAGGTGACTGCACCTCACACTATGAGGTTATTGACCATGGATGGGAGACCGCTGGGGACATTTCTCAGTGGCCTAGGCTAAATAGGGCCACAAAACTCCTAAGCAAGCTGTAAGATCTAACCACACAATTGATGTCTCATTTCCTCCTCACTAGGAAAATCCAGTGCCGTTCATGATTTGGAGGAGGTCTCTCCGGGATTGCGGAGACGTTTCTGGTTTCATCTACAAATCTCCACTTTGTCTGCCCAACTGTAAGGTATCACAAGGTTCAGTACAGTTATTGATAAACCCCCAAAGCCTAGATAAAGTCAATAGCCCTTTTGTTGTTCTTGTTGGAGGAAAGGAGAAAAAAAAGCAGTAGCCTCATTTAGAGATGGTTCACTGACCTCTGGAGGGCCTCGCTCACCTGGAGCTGGGAAGCTTTGGCCTCAGGAAAGCAAAATCAGGATATTACCTAGAAAGAAGCTGCCCCACAAGAGTACCGTTTATCAAAAGATGGAGGCAAAGAAATCCAGAAACTAATATACAGAATCAACCAAACTCCTGAGTGGTAGCATTTGGAACCCAACCCCAACCCCATTCCCACCCACCCCCATTTTCCCTCCCAGAAGATGCCTTTCCTGACCGACCGGAGGCTTCCGTAGCTGCCCGTCCTCCATGACTCAGGAAAGCTATTCACTAGGTTATGTGAGGACATCACATCCTCTTTCGTCACTTCAGGGCATTTGAGGGAATGCAAAGCAAGGTTGCATCAACTGGGCATTTCAGAGTAAAAGGTCTGGCTGCTAGGGGAAAAAACTGAGGAGTTTGAAGATCCGCTAGTAGTCTGCTTTATCTTGTCTGGGCCCTGTAGGAAAATGTAGGTTTTCCAAGGTGAAGATAAGAGCAGTTGAAATTAATTGAGTGAGGGGCACCTGGGTGGCTCAGTCGTTAAGC